TATATGTATATATATATATATAAGTACACTTGAAACCTCATGGCGTGCATATTTGTTGTGTTTGCTTTGTTGTGCATATACCTAGATTGCGTGCTAAATACTTAGACACTTTCCGCGAACACTAAATACAACTCGCCTTGTATTATAGCAGGCTATATTGAGCTTTGTATGCTGACTTCGGCAGTAATTTAGGATATATCATCGAATAACGCATGAAATATAACATGTACTCACCTCTGTGTGCGTGTACGTGTTTGTATGTTAACATAGATGGTCTTCGCATGCCTGAATCATAAGGGTATGCTAACACAAGAAAAATCAGTAAGTACTAACCCCAACTCTCCATGAAACACGTTCTTTATTAAAAAAACACTTGCAATAAGCATTACCTGCATTGAACTTCTCATGTTGACTTTGGTAGTAGTCTATCACAAACTTTCGACTGACCGATTTGAGTGACGGGAATGATACCCATTCCTCATCGACCGCTACAGTTTCTGCAAACACCCCACAGGCGTGACATATTGTGAAGTACAACAGTAAAGCTTTCAAGGCACAGATCCGGCGCATCATGTCTATCAATTATTGAAGCTTGGGTATACTTACTTAGCTATCGCAATACGTATATGCGTGTGTTTCATAGTTAAATTTGTCCGTATGTGTTATAGTTAACCAGGACTTGTCAACTGTATTGGTAGCGGTTTTGCATGGGTTGTGTTCCGTTCGTTCCGTAATTCGGTGCGTGTGACCGGACCAACGCCTGCACTGGGCATATCAACGTCCACGGACAACACTAAGCACACAAGAACTCGCTGATACGTATATTATAAGGTGTAGTATAGCATACATTACGGGTCGTATCAAAATATCGTGTACATAGTTTATTTACGTCTCCATGATATATCATCCACCATTCCCACATGAAAGTGAGTGTAAATAAAAAAACGTATATTCAGGTATGGTGCACACAGTGAGAAACCGGGGTCTTCCGGTCAGATTTTGAACGTCCTTAACTTTTGAATCAACCGATAAATTTTTGTAAATCTTGGCCCAAAGCATTCGGCTTTTGGAGAGCTATCCAAAACTGCAATAAAAAAGTTCGGCCAAATCACTATATTTCGTGCCCCAGAAATCTGGGTCACCACCTTGGCCAAATTCCAAAATTGCAAAATTTCAAAATGTCAAGCTGAATATAGCTTTATTTGAGAATTCTGCTTCGAATATTGACCGTCAGAATATTCTGAGAATTGTTGTCCTGGATGAATCCCTGGTAGGGAGTCCAAATCCTAAGAGTTTGAAGCTCTATCGATATTGCAACACCTTCGATAGCCTCAAAAAGGTCGATTTTGGGTGTATGGCCAAATCAAAAACAAAATGGGGGGGGGGGGGGTTTGTTGAAATATTGGTCGTATCACAAAATGAACCAGCTTATCTTTTCTAGGAGGATGAGATAAGCTCAAATCCGTTGAGGAAACCCGGTTTGAGTAGTATTATTTTTTCGAGGTGTCCCATACTCCTGAACATAGGGGTCCGGAAGACCCCGGTTTCTCTTTGTGTGCGCCACATAAATATTTAGGTGAATGTATATGTAAGACTATTTACACGGCCCTCTGGATTGGGTCGCGGGCAGAAATCAGGTTTCTTCCGACGAATCGTAAATTTAGCAGAGACCCTAATCCAGAAGGTTTTTGGCTTTTTGCTGCTATAGCAGTTTTCCTCCGAGAACAGTCGTACACTAATTTACTCCAAATAAGCGCACTCAAATCTTTTTTTCACTTTACCTTTTATAAATAGAATTGTTCAAAAGAGACATATTTTCTCCTTCCATAGCAGAAGGCTATGCCATGTTTCTTTTTAAACAATTATTAAAAAAGATATATAATTTTTTAAATATCCACCAATAAAGTATTTACAAACATTCTTGTTTACGCTGCGGCGCAACATCACATTAATAAATACCCGTCCAGGGGAAGCACAGCCATTTACATCAGCGGTTTGTGTAGCACACTGCACACAGTTGCAAGGGATAGAACGGTGGTTCGGCATGTCTCATACTGACCATATATCTCACATTGACTATATTGGTTCTTCAATATAATTGGAACACAGTGGCAGAGCTGTCCAGTGCGCAAAGTACCACGCACGCCTACGCAAATATCTGGTATTGTCTATGCATGCTTTCTAAATCTGAATCTGTAGTGTCTAGCCCCAAGGGATTACAAACAATGGACGTTACTCGTTTAGGTGGTGACGTTTGGTCAAGAATCATTCGACACCTCAAAGTACAGAGCGTTCTAGAGCTTTCACTCACATGTACCAGAATACACGCTCTGGCGTCAGTGCGCAACTGGCTTGTAGTTGGTGGCGAAGTGACCTTTCTTAAATAAACGTCTGTCTTAGATCTTTTTATGAAATACTACCGAAATCTAGTGCGGAATTTAACGCTAATATTATTTTCCAATGACGACCTGAACAACCTCAACTCTTGCGAAGCCCTTACCAGACTGAAGTTGGATGATATTCGTGACCTACGCATACACGTGGTCAACTCGCTATCAGCCTTCCCACAACTGCGCCACTTGGAGATCACCTCATGTTACATGGTACAAGGAGCCGACATCACACCGCTTCGTTTTTCTAGTGCACTCCAAACACTCGATATTCGCTTTACAGTTTCATCCCCCGACATCACGAATCTTTCTCCGCTCACACATTGCCTCGCCTTGACCGAGCTTGATATATCCAGGACGCAAATTACTGACTTGCGACTTTTGCCTGTTTGTATGAGACTGCGCAAACTAAGGGTGACGGGCTGTCGGTTCGACACCAATCTAGAGCCACTGACAGCATGTTCGAAACTACAAACAATACGCATAGGCGGTATTGGCATTACCGACATAGAGCCACTACGAGGTTGCTCAAAACTACAACGCCTGGTCATAGACAAATGCATTAGTATCACCGAAATAGAGCCACTACGGGCGTGTTCAAAACTACAACGCCTGGTAATACGCGAATGCCGCGATATCACCGACATAGAGCCACTACAAGCTTGTTCAAAAACTATGACACCTGGAAATAGAGGACTGCGCTGGTAACACCGACATAGAGCCACTACGAGCTTGTTTAGAACTACAGCACCTGGTAATAGGCAGCTGCACTGGTATCGCTAATATAGAGCCACTGCGTGCTTGCTCGAAACTACAAACACTACGCATGAACGACTGCACCGGTATCACTGATATAGAGCCACTACGAGCCTGTGCGCAACTACAAAAACTATACATGTCACACTGAACAAGTATCACTACTGTAGATCCACTTAGAGCGTGCTCGAAACTGCAATATCTGCAAATGTCCTGCTGCACTGGTATCACAGACATAGAACCACTAGGCGCTTGCTCAGAATTAAAATTTTAGACATGCACGGCTGTACTGGTGACATCGACATTAAACCATTAAGAACGTGTTCGACACTCAATGTCTATAAGTAGAGCTGCAATGGCATCACTGACGTAAAGCCACCAAGAACCTGTTCTAGACTACTAAAATCATATATCTATATATATATCTATATATATCTGTATCTATATCTATCTATCTATCAATCTATCTATTTAAATACAGCTATATAGATGTATATATATATATATATAAATATATATACATATATAAATATATATATATGTTTGTATATATTGATATATATATATAAATATAGATGTAGATATATTTATTATATATATATATATATATATATATATATGTATATATATATATATATTATGTATATATGTATTAAATAAATATAAATATATATATATATATATAGATATATATATGATTTTAGATATACATATATATATAAGCATATATGAATATATATAATATATATATATATATATATATATAATATATATATATATATATATATATATATATAATACATAATATATTTATGCGTATATATATATATATATACATAGATATATATTTATATTTTTATAAACAATTAATGTATGTATGTGTGTATGTATTTATGTATGTATGTATGTGTGTAGGCATTCTTTGATGTACGTATGTATGATGTATGTATGTATATATGTACGTATATATCATCTATGTACGTATGTATATATATATGTATGTATGTTAGTATGTATGTATGTATGTATATATATATATATATATAGACAATAGATGTATGTATATTATTACTAATTTATGTAATCAATTATGTATTATGTATGTACGTACGTATATATCTATGTTTGTATCTATCTAAGTATGTTTATTCCCATATATTCTTGTTTGTATGAGTGTATGTATGTATTTTTGTATATATTCATTTATTAAATTATGTATTTACGCATGTGTTTGTATACTGATTTATTCATGAATGTAGCATGTGTTTGTATACTGATTTATTCATGAATGTATGTCTGCATGTGTGTATCAATATATATATATATATGTATGTGTGTGTGTGTGTGTGTGTGTGTGTGTGTGTGCGGGTGTGGGTGTGTGTGTGTGTGTATCATAACCACCACAGTGCCAATTTACTTTAGCGTGTATTCGAATGAAATTCATGCCACCCAATTAATAGTTAATTAGAGTATGTATTTGTATGTTTGTTTGTTTATTCGTGGACGTTTGGGTGAGTGGGTGTGTGTGTTCGTGTATATGTGTTGGAAGTGATCTGTATAGATTTCGGCATCATGTATCTATTAATCAAAGTCTATCTTAATCGGTGCATCTGAATAATATCTGCTTCCGCTTCCGAGGCTGACAGAGAATCCCCGACCTCTACATATTCAGAGTGATATCTGCATCGTGAATGTGTGATACCTGTAAGTCTGTAACTACATAAATAAACAACATCTATATCTTCATAAATATATAAAATTGTCTCGCCGGCATGTGATACCCTTTGGCGGGAGAATTTATTGCCTAATGGTTAGTATAGATATATATATTTACACTCTCCAATAGCTAGTATAGACATATATAGACCCATATTATTATGAATAATGGTCCAACAATTAGTCAGATTACCGAACACGTATTTAGTCGCTTACTTATATATTTATACGTATTATTCGATACTACTTATTATATTTTAAAAATCAATATTCATTCTGATCTATTTTCAGAAGGCTACGCAATATTGTACTGTCATTTTTTTGTTTTTTTGTTGTTTTTTTTTTAATTAGATATAGTTTGCTTTCAAAAGTTGAAGGGCGTTCCCCAACACCGATCAACACAAAAAGAAGAGAAGAAGAAACTGAAGAGAGAAGAGAACAAGACTGGATGACCGATATCGGATTTTTAATTTTAATTTTACTCAATACCAACCATCATCTTTGTTGCCAAGGAGTAATTAGCAGACAATGATGTAATTGGTCTAGAGTATTTCCCTTCTCATCAGTCCGCTCTGACACACATAAACAGTCTGAAACAGATGCACAGCTTCAAATTGAAATGTGGTACAGTATCATGATGATGACTGCTGAACTTCTGAAGGCAGGAGGCCAGGAGCCCTGAAGGCTGAAGCCAGAATGGAGAGTGGGGCGAACTTGTAACTTTTTTTTGTCAATATTTATCGTTATAAAGAGTGAGTGAAGAACTTGGACCCACATGGATTTGAAACTTGCAACGAACTTGAACGTCTGATTTTAGCCCACATCATCATGCATTCGACAAATTTGTGCATACACACCTGTTACACACACAACAAGAGAGTTGAACTTGTTGAAGTGACACAGCCTAAGCTCAATGCGTTAAAATTTGTAACTTTTATTTTGCCTCGAATAAACATTAAAGTTGTAACTTTATATCTCAATAGTACACTTTCATACATGTTAGGTGCATTTTCCAGGTCACTCAGGTGACAGTCAACTGAAACGCTCAATCTCTTTTGATTGCCTATTATCAATTTCGTGGCCTAAAATTTTCAACGATCGGACAGCTTACTGGGTGCAGTTTCCAAAATAACTTTGTAGTTGATTTGTCCTAAATAAATGGTATAACTTTTAAAAATCAAATGTTAACTTTAAAGTTGGAACTTATATTCCGTACCCCTATAACTTATTGAGCTTGGGACACAGCACAAGAAGCAAGAAGAAGAGAACAGGGAGAAAACTTTGAATAAAGACTTCTGGGGTCCTACTAAATACTACTCTACAGTACTCTCGCTCTACTACTAGTAGAGTAGTCAGTGCAGAGAGAGAGAGAGAGAGAGAGAGGGATATAACAATTTAAAACGCGAGTGTGTCTAGTCACTCAAGAGCTAACCTCAAAACGTTTAGTGTCATGTATATAAACGTCATCTTTTCAACGTTTAACGGATTATTTTTTAACGTTGCAACGTATTTTGGTATATTTTAACCTGTATAGACCTGAATAGTGCACCTATTGTAAACCTTTCGGTCTCAGTTTTTAATATCAGGATGTGTCGTCAGGACAAAATGTTGGTATGTATATGAAGCCTATTGCCTAACCTGGAATATGGCCCTACAATTATAAACGGGACACTGAAATGGAAGTATACGTTTAACGGATCATTTACTTGCGTTGCAACTTACAACGATATGAGGAAAGCTCCAGAATCCAATCAAAATGCCCACAAACACACCGACACTGTTTGTACTCAATTTGTAGTCAAATTATAGTTTTACTAAACCAATCATTATATTTGTTGTCAAGGAGTGTATAGCAGACAATGATGTATTTTTGGCACCACCAAGTCACCAACATACGTATTTACTCTTTGTAAAACAACCAGTTTGGAATTGGAAATCGTCCAATACTCGGATTGACAGTTGCACACCGTCATTACTCATTGCAAGATAAAAAACCCCAGCTGAATTCTATTTTAGTTTTTGTTGAAAAAGTAAAAACAAAGGAAAAGAATCAGTAGGCACTAATAAGACTGAACAAATACAAAATCAAAAAACAGCAACAAATGTTTTTTTCTTTTTTTTAGAAAAGGTCCTATGTAAGACAATTTGCAAAAAGTCTAAACCGTTAAAAAATAACTCCATCTTGAGTCCTTGAGACTGGATGGCAGTTCGATGACTTCGACCCCCTATCCAATAGATTCCAGGCGATAATGAATAACCTCTCTCCAGTCTCCTATTTACATGCTACTAGTAGAGGGAGAGTAGTAGAGAGAGTAGTAAATAGAGAGTCTTCCTCTCTCTCTACTCTCTCTCTCTAGAACACGTAAATTGTCAATATTGTTCAGGAATAGTTCGTTGTCGGAGAAGGGTATTTTTTGAAAAATAACCTCTGTCAATTCGTTACTCTAGAGAGAGAGATAGTCAGAGAGAGGCCGAGAGGGTCATAATTCATGAAATATCACACTTCATAGCCTTCTGAAACAGTGAAATCAAACAAGAAGGCCATGAAAATATAAAATATTCCAATAATAAAAACTTATGTGAGTTTATCGGTTTCGGAGTAGAGAGAATACCTAACTACGGAGTACTCCAGAGAGCTTTGGAGTGTATCTATATATAGATGTAGTAATTTTTATGACCGGCTGCCTTTGACTCTTTGACTTTGTTTTATAAAAAAATTTAACATTATAGAATACGTTTGTAGTCTGCACTCTGTAGATGGCCACAGCCCACAGCAGACCACAACACAGGTGAAAGGTGCACAGCCGCACAGGGTACAGTGATAGCGGGCAGACAACCTCACAGGCCAGTGAGCAGCCTAGTTGACAATGAAGCTGGTTGGAAACCTTACCCCAGAGAACCACCAGGCACCAATACACTAGAGTAGACCAGCCAGTGGTCCCAGGGGTAGTATCTACTATTGATAGGCCAGTAATAAGTAATAACTAGTATGTATAAATAAGCCTGGAGAAAATAGATAAGAAGACTATTATTTATTTTTTATAATACTTAAAAATACGTAGGATCAAGAGAATTCGAAAAGGACGTCACTTTTGCATTTCTATAGGTTGTACTTCATTTTCATTACATATCCGTTGTCGACTGTTGTGTATTCACGATGAAATCAACTAAGATTCGAGCAGCCTTATTGGTGAGTGCTGCCTCCGTAGTGTGCGCGCAGGAGCCAATTTCGGCATACTTGTCACACAAAGGCAAGACTTTCAATGTGGACGGATTCGACGCCAATGGTAACACATACACTGGTCTAACGAAGGCACAGTTGATTTCTGGCGATACTGGCCTTGATAGTGATGATGCATTGGTTGCAGCCGAGGGTCGCAAAATTGCAGCTATCAAAGGAGATTCTTCTCCCACCGATATTGTAGCTCCCACCGAATCTGGGGACTGGGAGAACTATTGGCCCAGTTTTAATGGCAAGAAGCCTCTACACAAGAATGAGGGCATTAAGAGAGCTGGAAACGGCAAGATCATCGACAAGGCATGGTATCACCTGTCTAATAGACCAGCGCCCATTGTCACGGAGACTCAGACTCAGTTCGAGTTCACGCAAGTCTATGTCACGTCCAGTGTAGAACCTACTGATAGCTATTGGTGCGACGGTGGATGGATTCAGATAACTAAGGCTGGGGATCTCATGGATGATGACTGGGCTGTTGCCTACATAACCGGCTATCTTTCTCTCATTTCAGCAAATGTCGATGACGTCGACACCTATGACTGGTGCGTGAATACCAATGATAGGAAAAACGCAGGAGCGTGTGCGCGACAGCACGCTAAAAGCCATTCCGAGGCAGATCTTGATGCGGCATTTGCGGTGGCCAGTGATGATCACACCTCAACGATCATCTTGCACGTGTGCAGTTTGCCTTGTTTGGACGCAATCTGTATCGCCACTCAGGAGAACTACGCCTTTTTGCAGCCACTGCGCTTGCACGAGATCTCGTTCACCAAATCGTCATCAGGAGATCGTAATATATCAACTCCTTGCTTGGATGGCGAGGGTATTTACTCACCAGGTAAGAATGTTTCAAGTGTTCACGCTTGCTTATATACAGGTATCCGATGTTTCTATAGATGCCATGAAAGTATGAGTATTTTTTGCGATTATTTCTCTGGATCTTAGTTATTGTCTCATTCGATGCATCGAGAAAATCTCAGCTAATATATACAGACACTGCACAACTTCTCATCGTACAGCAGGTAGCAGCGGCAGAAAATCCTTTAGATTCTGCCCAAAAGGACAGGCGTGCGATACCATTAACCCTGGAACTGGCACGTGTCAATGTGAAGCCTGTTCCCCTGACCTCACCAATTGCCTGGAGTCCACGTGCGTACCGTCCCAGACGGCTAACGCTACTGCTACAGGGCCTGTATGGGAACCTACTTCCAGATGCGCCGCTGGTGCCTGTGAGAAAGGGTTTTACCAGGATAAGTCCAATGGCCAGTGTACATCGTGCCCCTCTGTGAGTGGCTGTACACAGGCGGTGTGCACAAGCCCGTTTGATGCACAGTGTGCCTACGGTGGTTGCCTCGATGGTTGTTTCAATTCTGCCCCCCCAGGCGGAAGCGGGATGTGCAACTGTGATAGCCTGACTTGCAGCGGACAAACAGGTAAGCATCGTTCAGTGTACGTACTTAATTCAGGTGATGTTGTCAACCTATAAGATTCAACACGTCTATAACTTGGTATCGATATGCTAACGTCGTTACTCGAATTTATATTCTCCGCTCAGCAATTCCTACTGATGATATTGAATCCAACTGTGGAACATTCTGCGTTGACAGTCAAGGTCTCCTTATCCGCGAGGTCATGGGAGGCGAAGACGTGACACAGTGCACAAGCATGTATGTTTAAATTCTGGACTGTTTCTATTACATTGACAATAATATGCACATGGAGAATTCGTATATCATCCTATTGCCACATACTTTCGTATTCGGAAGGCTATAATACCCATGCAGATTATAATATATATATGTGTGTATATATATATATATATGTGTGTGTGTGTTTGTGTATATATACGTATATACATACACGCGCAAACACATACACACACACATATATATATATATATATATATATATAGTATGTATGTATGTTTGTATATGCATATGAATATGAATATATATATATATATATATATATATTTATATATATATATATATATAATGTACATGTATGTTTATGCTTATGTATACAAATTTATATCAAGCATATATATATATACAGTACATGTACATGTATATATATATATATATATAGTATGTATATGTATATATATATATATGTATATATACGAATTTGTGCATGCAATATATTTTCAAAAATATGGGTTATCGACACACATATATATATATCTATATATATATATATATATATATATATATATATACATATATATATGCATTATTTAATATTTTATTTGTATATGTATATGAATACATATACATTTATGTATATTATGTGTTTCAAATAAATTTAATACGTATATATATATATATATATATAAAATATCATGTTCATATTTACATATATATACATATATATTGTATAAACAAATATTGATGTATATATGTATAATATAAATATATTTATATATATATATATATATATATATATATATATATATATATATATAAAAATATACCTATTGACACACACTATATATATCTATACATCTATATCTATAATCGTACATGTATAAGTATACACACATGTCTATTCATATTTTTTACCTATATCTACATATGAATATATATTACATATATATATATGTTGATATATATTACATATATATATATGCATGTATGTCATTATGGGTATATGCATATATATATATATATATATATATATATTATGTATGTATATGGATACCCGTATATGTTAAAGTTATACAAGTAGTCAATTTATGTTTCTTTATCTACATCTATATGGAACGAGAACAATTTTAATATCGGTTCTATCAAAGGCATTAATAAGATGATGTATGCACGTTTGTAACGCACTTCATTGTCCTTGTTTCCTTCAGACAAGCCATCAATAAAGGTATTAGATTTCTTGCTCCCGGGATCTTCGACGACTTGACCGACCTAACAAACTTGTAAGTTATTGTGAGATCCCTCATGCACATTCAAGCCATATATCTCTGTAATGTTTTGTGTAGAAGTAGGCATCCAATTCTCTCCTTTGCTAATTGTGTGGCAGTACGTATTTGTCACACTCCACTCCACTGACTCCATCTTTTATTTGGTATATACAGAGTGTTGTTCAATAATGAATTGGCATCCTCGGCGATTTCACCCACTCTGGTCGCGAAGAACGTCAAACTGATCGATCTGTATGTTCCTTCGATAAACTTTGCTCGTGGCCCATTGGCCTTCAGCCAGCGACGCAAGCCCTACAGCGTTCACTCGTATCTGGGTTGTACCGCACTGCCATTCTGCATTCCCATTCATCGAGCCTTACTAACTCTTACTAAATATTTGGGTCATGCGCATGAGAGACAAGTGATGCACTGTAGATGACTGAGACTTGAGGCGATGTGTACTAACTATTCTGTTGCAACCAAACACTCACAGGGATATAGGTCAAAACCGGATAACTACTCTGCCCATTGGCTTGTTGGATACTTTGGCGGACCTGAAGAATTTGTAAGTACTGCCTCTGACTTCCCAGTATACTAGTGACTTAGTTACCGTACATCAGTGACTTGATTACCGTACATCAGTGACTGAGTTACCGTACATCAGGGACTTAGTGGTGCATATCTCTGTTTGATGATGTTGTCCTTCCCATTTGTGATTATGGCTGCGAACCGGTTTATGTGCGGCCACCATCAACAAACAACGAAGTGCAGTAAAACGCCCAGAAGCTTAATCTGCACTTTGCTGAGGACTTTCACGTAGCACTTGTTCGGAGAGTTTAACTTAATCATTCGATTTCTCACTGTGCACATATCAGATGGCTCAATAAGAACCGCGTTCAAGCCATCCCCGCGGGGTACTTTGACAACGTACCGTCACTCAAAAAACTGGACTTCTCCTGGGCTCTCCTTGCAGAACTTCCAGAAGGCTTGTTCGACAACAATCTGGCGCTAGAATTAGTGTAAGCATGATGGTACCCGATTGAGTTTAATCGCTCTGACGGCGTAGCTCTGTGTACTGTACCTACCTGTTACACCAATGTACCTGTCACATTCCGTTTGTAACGGAAACCCCCACCGTCGACTCGATGTGCGTGTGCTCGTAGTCATTACCGTTGCACGGTATGTTGATCCGGTCACTTCCCCTCAAGACCTTCTCGGATTCATGGACAGCTTAAAGTATGACTCACGTGCGTAGTGGCCGTCACCTGTGTAAGACAATCACCCAATCAACCAACACCGACGAAGGAAAATCCCCGTGAGGCGCTGTACCTCCGCTCTCAGTGGTTGCTTCATCAGACTTTCAAACCGACTCTTCACAATGCTCATGGCCCAAAGTCAGACCCAAACTACCGACGGGTATGTATGTATTCAGTACACAACTCTCAAACCCTAAACCCTACCCTTTGCCCCTACCCATACAGGAACATGAACCTCAACCCCCTCGCGTGCGTTGCACAGCTGTCTCTGCCCGCTAGGTACATTGGCACGGCCATGTCCTTCTCAGCTGGTGTGAAGGTCGCTTCCTTACCCGTATGCACTGGAGGATGTGTAGAAGGGCACTACGCGGACTCAACTGGAGTCTGTGTCGCTTGCACCCTTGTTCCTGGGTGCATCCAAGGCGTTTGCACAAACGCGTTTGATTCTGTATGTGGGACTGACAGCTGCTTTGATGGATGTTCAAGCCAAAACGATGGATCGTGCGACTGTAGTGAATTGAGCTGTGCGGATCTGGACCCCGGTATGTTGCTGGTCAAAACTCGTTCATCTTACATCTGCCGTACACACTACAACTTTAAGAATGTATATATAATGTACATTTTACATTTGCTACATCCTTTACAATATCAAGATATATATATATATATATATATATATATATTTATAGTGTTCCTTACTGCATATTCAATGAACCCATAACCCTGCAGGCTTTACGTATTATCATTTGTAGAAAGACTCATAGTTGTATCCTAACCACACACTCTACAGTATTGAACTCATCGTGCGGAGTTTTCTGCATAAGTGAACAGCGTGTTCTTATCCGGGAGGCCGGGGCCTATTCGGATCCCTTGACCTGCGATCTCTTGTAAGTTCGTCGTGTGTGAGTTGGAATCTGGACGTTCACCATGAGTTTCTTGACAACTCTCGCTAACCACACTGTTACTATACTTCCCATCCCTGTGCAGAATTTTAGGAGCCAGAGCAATCGAGCATTTCAGCCCCGGAGTCTTCGACGATTTGACGCAGCTTATTCATCTGTATGTGGTGTGCGAGAAACCCACCAGCGTTGATCTGAAATGGCATCTTTCTCTATCGAACGCGTTATCTTATTTCACTTCCTGTTGTCATTCTGATTGTTATGTATGTCTCGTTACTTACTGCAGGGACCTGAGTTACAACTTGTTGAGCCAGTTGCCTGCGGATGTCTTCGCCAAGAACACCAACCTAGCCAGACTGTAAGTCACCCCTTCGAACGCCTGTGATGCGATGACCATATCTCCACAAAGAGGAATTGCATCCACACTCAGCAAACACCTCAACTGTGCGAGCTTACAGTCCCACCTTAAGCCAACACATCTCAATCACTAACATTTTGATACATTTAATGGTACGTAATCCTTTTGCGCACTGCAGCTTCCTGTCCAACAACGGACTGGTTACCCTTCCCAGTGGCATCTTCGACACCCTTGTAGATCTGACATGGTTGGATCTCAGTGTAAATGCTCTCGCTCCGCGATTACCTTCCGGACTGCTCGCCAAGTTGACCAAACTAGAGAGTGTGTAAGTAAGAATGCATGTGTATATTTGTCAGATTGTTAAGTACACGAAGACGCAGACATAAAGCAGTGCGTGTGCGAAAACATGTAAATTCGTAATGTCGCAATGAAGGTAAATGTATATCCACATGTTAGTACATGTAAGTAAATATACAAAGTTATGTGTTTGTTCATATGTATATATAAACTAAGCATGTTTATATGATATACACTTATATGTTTATATGTATACAAAAAGTATTACATTTTCGTATATGCATATACATATATATAGATACTCATCGTTTTTCTTCATATATACTTGGAATGTGCACCAAGCGTATGTACATGAATGCGCAGTTGGCGAAGGTTAAATTCTTTCACAGGGATACGGGACTGTCTTTCCTTCAGTGCTAGTATTTGTAAGCAAACTCGACCACTCCCTCAATCCCTAAATCCGTAAAGCCGCCAATTACGATGCTCACCTTTCTGCTGCGTATCTCGCATTGAGTATTGCTTCCCACATGAATATGATACGACGAATCGCTGTGTACTTGACACTGATCGCTCAACTAATTTGCAACGTATAATCTTCGCCATAACAGCAAGCTCGACTCAAATAGGCTTACCGAAGTGTCCACTGACGATTTCAAGAACAACATTGAGCTGACCAATCTGTAAGTCATTCCATCCTCAATCTGTAAGTCAACATATCTTTATCACATGATTTGAAGCATGGAAACACCTAGACAAACGTACGTATCATACGTATATATACCTGTGAATATGCATGTTAATGTATCGAATTATGATCCTCAGAAAAACCAAGTACCAAAATCTGCCTATAACTTTATGCGATACAGGGAGCTTCATCAAAACTCAATTGAAAGTCTTCCTGATGACCTGCTGCTGGCTAATACTAAACTAAATAATCTGTAAGTGATCTGGCCTGATCCTGTTGCGGCGTGGTTGATAATTCTGAGTTCACCGTCCGTAACTTACTATCGTTGCTTGGTTTAGGAATCCCTTCTCAACCACCCCTCCACCACCTTGCACGCATCACGCTAGTTTTAGGGTTTAGAGTTTACTAAACCCCTGAACCCCTGGATGCTGGCATACATTTTCAATTACGACACTGACAAGCATTCTGTCGCTTCCACATCCAGGGATCTCTACAAGAACTTAATTGCAACGGTCCCAGCTGGTTTGATCACCGGCCTGACGGAACTACAAACCTTGTAAGTCTCTGTAGATTGCGTATTACCACATACATCCCCGGACTGGACACGATGTATGCCCACGTACACGCATACAGTGATAACCATGTTCGAAGATGTATGCGCACTTAGAGGCACATGTCTGTTACTTCCTGATTATAGTTAGTTGGCTACGTGAAAGCACTTTCGGTTGAGAATACGTGAGTTGTCACACGTACTGTTCTCTTTCCCTCAATCTGTTTGAAAGTAAGTTGTCACACATACTGTTCTCTTTCCCTCAATCTGTTTGACAGTGAGTTGTCACACATACTGTTCTCTTTCCCTCAATCTGTTTGACATCTGATATACGTTTCAGGTGGTTGAATTATAATCTTCTGACTGAAATCCCCGTCGGATTTTGTGACACCAACGGCGCTCTAACGGAATTCCGATTCAGCAATAATCTAGTGGAGGAGATGCCAGTGAACCTATTCGCCAACACCCCCAACTTAGTCGAAGTGTAAGTCCATGTGTATTGTTAGCTACACCTACTTTTGGTGTGGTTTGTATGTGGTAGGAAACATATTGTGACTCACTTCTGTGTACTGTACAGGGTGAATCAAAACCTTAAACCCACTTCGTTCTGGCAGGCAGCGCAAGTTTCTGATTCATCATGGTAGCAACCTTGTATCACCAATCGAAATACTCGAGACTAATGGCTTGTCCTTTCCACCACATCAATTGACATACACAATCACACAGGTCTGCGGATGCCAACCCCCTCACATGCATAGCGCTTGTCCCCGTTACTGCTACCTACACTGGGAACTGCCCCGTGGCCCCACAAACCTGTGCTGACCTACCTCTGTGCACATAGAGACTTCTTACTAGAGTGTGCGAGGAAACTTGCATTCAAATGTTTCAAGGAGCGAAACTTATTTTCGAAACGGATATGTATCAGCAAAGAACGAGAGGTTGCTGTACACCCTGCGCCTACGAATGAGATAAACGTTTCTTTCGAAAGGCCTTATTTACTACTCGGCTGGAGATGGCGTTCAGTCCAGATTCCACTGACAACGCACATACTCGGAAGTATAACACCCCATTCATGTCAAACTCTACAAACTTCAAATCAAACTTATTTGTACAATAAAGGTTTCAAAATCACAATAAACATACTTTGCAGCTATGGGAGGCGGAAGCATGCAGCATTTATTGTTACTGCTGCTGATCAAGGAGTGCCGATTTTTCTCATACATAAAGTGGAACCGGACTATGTACGGCATTTAGTCCGTTGCGGTATATATTTAATTGTTCTTAGGTCTCTTGCTCTAGAGGGTCATGGTGGAACAGAATGATACGTGAGGGTTTAGGGTTTAGAGATCCATGTACAGTGTTTGTAGTTTAGAACAAGCCGGTAGTAGCTCTATTAAAGTACCGCAGTGTAAGTGTAGCGTTTCTAGTTTCGGGCACGCTAGTATTGGCTCTATGTCGGCGATACCAGTGCATTTGTATATACCCAGGCGTTGTAGTTTTGAACAACCTTGTAGTGGCTCTATGTCGGTGATTCCAGCGCAATGGTGTATATCCAGGCGTTGTAGTTTTGAATAAGCTCGTAGTGGCTCAATGTCGGTGATTCCACCGCATTTGTGTATATCCAGGCGTTGTAATTTTGAGCAATCTCGTAGTGGCTCTATGTCGGTGACTTTACTGCAGCCAATTAGTCTCAGATCTTGTAGTTCCAAACATGCACTCAGTGGCCCTATATCGGTAATGCTAATACTACCTATGGACATTGTTTGTAGTTTTGAACATGATGTCAGTGGCTCTATATTGGTGACGAACTGACAGTAAATCATCCTTAGTGTGTGCAGTCTCATACAGAAAGGCAAAAGTCTCAAGTCAGCAATTTTCGTACAGGATATATCAAGCTCGGTCAAGGCGAGACAATATATGAGCGGAGAAAGATCCGTGATGTCGGGGGATGAAATTGTAAACACAATATCGAGTGTTTGGAGTGCACTGGGGAAACGAAATGGTATGATGTCGGCTCCTTGTACCATGTCACATGAGTTGACCTGCAAGTGGCGCAGATGTGGAAGGACTGACAGCGAGTTGACCACGTGTCTTCGTAGGTCACGAATCTACGTCAATCGTAGTGTGGTAAGGGCTTCGCAAGAGCTGAGGTTGTTCAAGTCGACACTGCAAAAGTTTGTCAGCGTCAAAACCCGCACTGCAATGCTGTAGTGTTTTAGAAAAAGCTTTAACTTTGCCACATTACTGTGAAGGGTCACTCGGCCATCAATTCGAAGCCAGTTGCGCACTGACGCCAGAGCGTGCATTCTGGTACAAGTGAGTGAAAGCTCTAGAACGTTCTGTGCGTTGAGGTGTCGAATGATTCTTGACCAAACGTCAGCACCTAAACTAGTCACGTCCATTGTTTGTAATCCTTTGGGGTTAGCGACTACGGGTTTAGATTTAGAACGAATACAAAGACAAGATCAGAATTTGGCGTAGGCGTGCGTGGTACTTGTGTGGTACACAGGACAGGTCTGTCACATTTGTTCCTCAATATATGGCAACCCCCATTTAGCCAATGTGAGACCTGTAAAACCACCGTACTATCACTTGAAACTGTGCATAGTGTCCTAAATACATAAAATACTGGTGTAAACAATATATGGCTATGCTTCCCTAGAGAGTAGACACAGGGATAGCAGCACATGATACTCTCAACTTCTAATGGAATATTCTAATGAGCGAAGCGAGTGACTTTTGATTAATTTGGAAGCGAAAAGGAAGAGAAAGAGGGGCCTTTGGGAGGGCGTAGCCCTCGTAAAGGCCGCCTTAAATTTGACATGATGTCACGTGTCATTCCCCAGCACATCACGACAACACACCCAGAAATCAATAAACTTATTCTCATACTGTTCATTCTTCCATACTCCGTCGTCTTAGTATGGTTGTGTTGACTCGAAGTTCCGCCCTCTGCCTGGACCTCGTCGATCACCCTGGTCTTGGTGAATTAGAGTTCAGCGACGAAGCAAACGATGAGAATGAAATCATAGGCAGCGATGAAGAGGACTCCGATGAAGTTGAAGGTTTGCACGCCCTTCAGAACATGCAGCGACTCCACATTCCTAGCATATGAAGATACTCTAGTAGAAACAGTTCGTATATGCAGACACGTGATCCTTGTGCCACTATCGAAGCGTCACGGGTTTTACTGGAAGTTCTGGCAAGTGTTTCGAGTAAATCTATTCATAGACAATGCAGGAGATAGTGAAGCAGTATCGCGTGTTTTGCGCAGTAGACAGACAGCATACGAGGCACGCTTACAGACAGCATACGAGGCACGCTTACAGACAGCACGTGAAAGACACTATATTTGAAAGCGTGTACGGAGACATATACCAGGTCCCCAAATCCTGCAAGACAGAATACAAACTGTGTACGACGAATTTAAGGACAAAAAAGGATGTGCACACTGGTGAGTTGTTGTTCAACGATATTGCGCATAAACAGTTTGCAGTAATTCTGAGGATGATACTTGATGGTTATGTATTGGATCCACCTGGCGTGCATCTCTATCGCTGTTATGTTACTAGTGTTGATGGACTTAGATTCTGGAAGTGTGCACTCCGTTAAGTCTATAGTACATCAGACCGTGTCCAGAAAATTTGGCTATCGTATTACTAGTATTGCTTTGTGCGATGATGTACTGTCATACTTTCGGATGAAAAAGAAATACGCACAAGATGTGGAAAGGAATGAAGCGCCCGACGTTGGCCACTTTGATCTAGAGACGGTGCATTGTAAGTGTGTCTGCCGAACCATTATGTGTGTATCCGCATAGCGGTGTCCATGACATCAGACACCTAGGTGTGCTATATTCTAGTTGGCCTTGTCCAACTATCTGATATGTCAAATGAAAAAGGTATTAATTAATAAAACCGTTAAAAACCATTTAGGAATCTTAAGTTCCTCGTATTATTACGAGTACGTTTATAGTTTATGTACTTTATACGATTACGTTTATAACATAGAGCCTAATGTGGAGTCCGGGCTGTTAAACTTACACTTTAAGGCTGAGTATTATGAGCAACGTGATGTTAAAATGTGTTCGAAAACAAGTGCTAAGAAGAGATACTACACCCTTCAAAATGTGGTATTGGAATCTTTTCCAAACACCACCCATCTAAATTCCAATTTGGTTACTCTTCACCGTGTATACGCGGTGTTCTTTGTATGCTTTGGCGTTTGTATGGCCGTTTCATACCTCCCACTCAAATCACTTACCGAAGAAGACGTCAGGCAACAATACAGGAATCCTCCCGAGGTTGGCAATTTTCATCCAGACATCGTTTGGTGAGACTTCGGCTTCAAAGCCCGTAAGTATCACCACGCATCCACAAATCACGGACTACGTATAAGCACAATCGAGACCATCTTATGTAATACTTGGCACTTGAACTAAATCTATGCTGGCGGGTCAACTAGTCCAGAACATGCGTATCACCGGCCCACTACCTCCACCTCCCCCCAGATCTATAAGCTGATGGACTACGGTATCTCTGGTGACCACACCTTGGACTCGATCTCCGGGTACTTCCAACGGAACAAATCCATCGGTGGCCTCAACAAATGCCAACAATGCAGCCGCCTCCAGACCAACGACTTTCCTCTCATGAATATAACCGATATCGTCATCGACTTTATCACCTACGCAATAAATCCCGCGCACGATTATTCCAAGCCAAAATCCGGGCGCATCAGAATCTACTATAGTTGTGTCTCACTTTGCATGGTCCAGCGGAAGGGCTGCCACGGATCCTCGACTGCATCTGGCGCTATGCCGCTAACCCGCAAATATTTGGGGGATTCGGCCACGACATAAATAGACCCTGGGTACAACGGCTGCCAAGCCATTCGTTCCGCCCACGTCTGACCGCCCAAAGCAATATTCAAATGTTCAAAGATATTACCAACGACGATATCCGCGCCAAACCTGCATACCGGGTGCCGATGACACAGGCACCACCCTCACTGGTTACTTTGAGGACATATTTAACCCCACAAATCCGTACGTGGTTCCACCGGATACGGAACCCTCGCCAGATGTAGCTCCTGCCATACGCCCCGACGATGTAATGGAGGCTACTACGCTTTCCAATACACAAGAGGCCTAGCCCTGACAGAATTTACATTCTCCTTCTGAAGGCTGCAGTGGAGCGCTCCACCGAACGCTGGACACTAGGACGCCCTGACACAATAGCCCACTGATTAAACTGCTTGCCGAAGCATTCACTGAGCTACTAAAGGCGGGTACCTTTTCTACAGCCCTGAACTCCACTTTCATGTCAGCGCACCCCAAAAAAGGTCGATGAAGATATCACCTCCTCCGCCGAGTTCCGCCCCATCACGCTAACACAAATAGTCAGACGCATCTTTGAGAAGTGCTTCCTCAAGCTGATCACAAGCCACCCCGGCTCTGCTACCCATGCTACCCAAGCTGGCTCCAAATCACGATACACCTGCCATACCCAAGCACTCGCCGCCATCGAATCTGAGACACAGTACAATAAGGAACGACAGGTCTGCTTGCAGTTTAATGGATCCAGCGTAACGTACTCCAAAAAGTGTGCGACACCCTCGCCTGACCAGACGTTTACCGCATCCGCGGCGGAAGGTGGCTTCCAACTTTGGAACGTGGGCACCGGCAAGTGTTTGGTCGACTATGAAAAGAATGGCGTTGGGCTGGGCACGCTCGACTACGGATACAAGATCTACGATGACCAAATCTGGTATCTAGAGCCTCGCGGTGATGGATATCTCCTCATTAACAAATATCATGGCAACCGTGTGGTCATGTACGGCGATTCGCGAGGGCTGGGTGTTCTGGCGTCCAAATATGCAGTCTACTCCGATCAAGTATGGTCGACCATTTGTTAGTGAAGCAGAATCAGTGTTCACCAAAATAAAACGTGTATGTTCATGGCACTTCAACATAATACTCGACAGCCGATGTCGTAATTGCATAACTAGATTTATTATACTTGTAGACTTCAGTTGTCCCCCAGTTACGTCACATTCGTAATGGCCAGTTTATAATTCTAAAATGATATTTTGATTTCGGAAGACTGTTTCAAGTTGTTAAATTGTGTCTTGTTATAAATAGAGCGTACGATTGTAGACTGTAGACTGCTGCAGAAACTCTGGATAGCTTGCCGCCTGTTATCACATACAAAGATACGAAGATCTGAAATAAGTCAATACTGATACATAGTCGCTCTGCGGTCTACTCTAGGGCCTGGGCACTGAGTGTCTCTGTAGAGATCTAGTATCTACTACATAGAGAGACTGAGAGTCAGTAGAGTCTACATACCGATAAAATAAAAATTAGAATTACTCCGATACCCTTTGCGGACGGCTCCAGCCAACAGGTAACAGTGTTAGTTGTCATGTACAGTGAACAGCCTCAATCAACAGGCTGCTCCAGACTCCAGAGTAGTCCAGACTCCAGAGGGATCATCGACAGACGCGCTGAGAGTGATGAGACGAATCGACGACAGAGACAAGAGTATATACATATTTACATACCGAGTCAGACTTTGTTGCTTTTATATATAATATAAGGTCCCTCGAATTTCCCAAAGTTCGGTCCTTATTCTCCGAATTCAAAAATCGGCCCAAAAAATGATCATTTAGCGCCAGGAATTCACAAACTAAGCACACTTACTATATAGTAACCGCACGCGGCATGACGCTTATCAGACATTTCGGCTTTTGCCCATTGACAGTAACACAGCAGAGAACATCGGGCAAAGCAAAAACAAAAAAACTCAAAACTACCAGTCTGCCACAGGCCTACAGGCTACATACAGCCCACAGGGCACAGGGCCACAGGCCCCTACAGGCTACATACAGCCCACAGGTCACAGGGCTACAGGCCCACAGCACAGGCCGGGCTCACAGCCCACAGGCAGCAGGCTGCATAGTACACACTCGACAGTCGACAGTGGAGTGAGTGACCTAAAACTGGACACAATTATAATTAATAAAAAAATACATGGGAAAGCTACTCCGCTCCTCTTTATCAAATCTTTACTCCGGACACAATTCCGAAATCTTCTTTGTATAAATGGCCAATGGGACAAGAGTTCAGAACTACAGAACTTCAGGAGCGCCCAAACGTTGAATCTTCGAACTTCTTGGAATCTTGGAACTCGAACCATCGTTTTTCAGATTAAACACTAGATAACAATTAAACAAGAGGTCACCAGGTGTCCCGCCTCCAGGTCACCAGGCCCAGGCCCCAGGGTGACCTCTGACCAGGCCACTAGGCACCAGGCCCCAGGGCCGCCCTCAGGGCTCAGGCCCGCAGCCCTCAGGGCCTCAGGCAGGTTCCGTCGTTGACTTTGCAAAATAATCTTTTTATCTCGAATTCCGGAATTCGCAATTCGAGGTATGTAAATAAAAATTGAAATTTCACTCTTTTTTTTAAAGACTAAAAGTTAAGTTCGATCATGACCCTCTCTAGAGAAAGAAAAATTTGCCACAACGGACTAACGTCCGTAAAACCCTATAAAAAAATCCGGCCATCAAGATGGCCGTGAAAACATTGAACATAAATTCATATTTATGTTTAGCAAAAACTTGCTTGCCATATTAGATGTTCATTTGTGCATTGAGTTTGCGTCTGTTGCGACGAAAGTAGTTAAATACATAGACATCGGTCGGCTCATCGGCTGGCATATTGCTTTTTCATTTTCACCACGGTCTCCATGGGTCCCGGGCTCTGATATCGGTGTAACTAATAAACGTATTGCAGAGAAAACAATCCCTGATCGATAATTAATTTGGCGCCTTGAGCTTCGTGAGGCATAGTTTACACATAAACATCTAGTCAAGGCTTGGTAGAATTGAAGGCGGTAGATCTCGACTTCTTAAGTTTGATGAGTTTTCATAGTCACGATGGACACCTGCTTATTTTAGACTGGATACTGGAGGTCGTCAATCTGTAGTTGCAATCGAGTATAGTCATCTTCGAGTAAAAAGGTGGTGTAAACTGGAACAACAACTGTCAGAAATGCGAGATTGGTGGCAACCGGTTACCATTGAAGTCGCACTTCAGTTGTCGATAGTCGGGAC